TTTTTAGCATAATGCTTCGCCCCCGAGCTCTCGCGTCGGCATTGAACAAAATGAACACCGGTGGCATTCAGTCGGTAATGCTTTTCAATCCGGAGGGTGTTTTGCTTGCCTTCACCAGTTTTGCCGGTGAAAGTGAACGAATGAAGGCGGCCATTGCAGCCAACATTTGGAATATTTGTCAACGGTATTTAGAGGCTGGTGAAACGGTAAGCAGTCTAACCAACCAGAGAGGAACTGTTCTTACAATTGGTGTGCTTCTGTGTAGAGTGATGATGATGATGGTTAAACGGCTTGAATCGTGTTTATTGGCGTACTCTGTTTAACCTTCAAACCCTGCAACCTTCACCGAACTTTAATGGTGGACAACTTATCCCTCGGCTTTACCACGCTTATCTATTTGGTTTTACATATATATTCGTTACAATAACGTCATTTGCAACAACCGGTAGATTTGTTTGAACAGGTCATTCAAAACCAGTCATTTGAAGAATCAACACTGTGGTTCGATGATTTGTAGGTGGGTTAGATGCTACTAATCGCAACTTATTCATATATTACTTATTGTGATATATATATATATATATTGGTGTTTTGAATGTATCTGATAACAGTTATTTATGAATTGCAATCTGCGGCAAGGTCAGCGTATTGGGAAGCCCAGTCGTTACGCCAGTTAAAATTCTATCGCTTCTTCCCCGTAGGCGCTGTCGCGCATTCCCGTTACTTACTTTATTACGATTGGCGCTTTTGAGAGGATAAACCGGCTCCATGAATGTCTCTGATTGCCGCCGCCCATACTTGGTGGTGGGCTGCAAGATCCTTGCAAATGTCGATCAAGTTGGTTTTCCATCCGGGGGGTGCCGCACAGCATCCAAAAGCCAAGTTGTCGACGTCTTCGAATACAGTGTCCAGCCAAGTTTTTACTTACCCCCTTGTCGGCAGCGCCAGCCTGGACAAGGTGACGGTGCCAAGACAATACTTTTAAATGTGACGTCCAGTGTGCGGAAAACCTGGCCCAATCATTGTTGTTCGCGGCGTTAAAAACAGACAATGTGGCAGCGATTTCTGAGGTCCCAGTTTGCGACTCTGTCCTGCCAGTTTACTTTCGAAGTGAATCTAAGACATTGATCGAAGACCTTCGATCCCCTGATGTCTTCAGCTCTTGGCGGCCAGGTTTCTTAGCCGTATAGTGGGACTGGTAGGACGGTTGTGGCAAACACACTGAGCTTGGTTTTAAGACTTATCTCGTTCCGGCGGCATATAGGGTGGTTTGGAGCTGCAGAAACACCGCTCGGGCCGTATTGATGCGCACTCACGTAGCACAGTACTGAGTTTATTCACCATAGGTACTTCTCGGGCATCTCATCGGTACGTTCTATGCTCCAAAGTGATTGTCCATCGAAACGACCAGTGAGTCGAAGAATTCTTTCGATTATTCATTCTTAAGATTCTACATTGATATACGATCAAAAGGTAGCAATGAAAGTCATCATTCATAAAGTAAACCGGAGTGGGGGATGGGAGGATGGGGGGGG